TCAGCTCTACATCCTCACTTCACAATCCTTGTAGGAAGATCATTAGAAAGCACAAAGCCTCAAATAAGCAAAGAGGGATCACCTCCCAATATGTGTGTGCATGTGTACAACCACATAAATAAATTCATACATAAATATACAGAAGGAAAATGAGCATCCTAGCAAAAGGGAGATTAGAGTAAATTGCCCTTTCTTGACAAGTAAACCAAAATCAAGGGGAGGCTGGGGGTGTCACAACCAGGACTTGGGTGGTTAGAGTAGGAGTCAGAGTTAGGCCAAAGCTCAGAGCCAGAAGTTAAGTCAAGGATCAGGGCCAGAGTGAGAATCGGGAGTCGAGCCAAGGGTCAGAGCTGGAATTGGAGTCAGGAGTCAAGCCAAGGGTCAGAGCCAGAGACCAGGGCAGGGATCAGGAACAAGACAGGAAGGCAAGAAATGGCAACAGGTAGGGAATCAGGAATCAGGGACAAGTCAGGAAAGCAGAGCTCAGGAGTCAAGCAAGAAGGCAGGGTCCTATGTAGCAGCCAGATAGGAATTCACTCAGATGCACAGACAACTTCCTGTGTCGCCTTCTGGCTTAAATAGCGCAGCCGGACCAATTGGTAGGACCGGGCGCTTGTACAATCAGGATTCCCCTGGGCAGTGCCACATCGCTCACCAGTCACTAGCAAACTGCCAGATGGTGGTTGGGATGCCAAGACTGCTCGCGGACCTGGGTTCAAGACATGTGGATCCTCACATCAGGTCACAAGCCCTTTTCAGTTAGCAGCACTCTTCAGATCTGGGGGAGGTTAAAAGTCTCCCTAAAACTACGGCTTTGGTTTTGAAGTAGATAGGTTACATGATTCCAAGCCCACCTAGGGGGAATGAATTATTTCACATCAAGGCCTGTAAAAGCCTGGAGCTATACAGCCAATAGGAGTTAATAAACCAGGGAGTGTGATACAGGATCTTGTTTGCTCGCTGCTCCAGGAAAATTCAAGTTATGCGCTGCTGCTTTGTTTGGTCAACTTTTTGGTTTCCAGAAGAAGTCAATTTCTCACCTGGATGGGTCAGCCTGCTACAGATCCAGCACCTGTGGTCTTCCTAGGTTAGCAAAGGTTTGGGAGACCACAGATGTTTTTCTGCTGGATCAGGCCATAAGGAATGGCACTCTTTCTAACCTTATGAAATCAATACTAATTTCTGCCAGAACCCTTCTTGAACAGAACTGGAAGGCAGGAAAAATGGAACTTCCCATGACCTGGTGCATTTAAAAGAAAACCTCAGGAACCAAGGGCTAAAATGATTTATTTTGGCTGTAACAAATATTTTGGCTTCCTTTCCTATCAGTTTGCCAATAAAAACACAGATCCAAGGTTTTTCAAACTACAGCATTGTAGCAATTTTGAAAATGACAAAGTGAAATGTATACCAACTAATAAAGGGCTATTCATGCTATAAATGCCTTTTTGTGCTGTTTTCTACATTCTGTAGCATAACTTAGGAAAATATTGGGCTCATTTGTCCTCCAGTTTATCTTAAAGCGCCATTGTGCAGCAAACCACATCAATGCTGTCTTTACAAGCAAGTTCTCTCACTTCTAGATCCTATATTACCCTTGTCCCACTGAGATACACTGCTATCCCATTTTCTGTTGTTGTGAATAACTCACATCAGGGAAGATGACTCATAACACTGAGGTTACAAAACAATCTTTTCTTACCAAAGACAGCAATCCAGCATTATTAGGTGTCAGTAGGGTTCACTGAAGGTAACACCCTCACCTTCAAGACAGAAGTTCAAGTCCCCCAGTTGGTACCGGGATAATATCCGGGGCTGTCATTTCAATGCAGTATTGGAGGATTGCCTCCCTTCTGATGAAACCTTCCCATGTGATTATATTCTGAAGAATGTCTCCAAAGTCAGGATTGTGTGGTACTGCATTGTCTCTGTGACTATGTGCATGCATTTATAAGTAAATATGGTAGGTTTTTGTCCCCCAACTGCTCAAACCTCAAACTCGATAAATTATCTCAAAGTGAATCTGGTCTTTCTGGCTCTGACATCACCAGTAATAAAGATTCTGTCATTGGAACTTAATTCACCATTAAAATAATGCTACGTGGGCCAGAAAAGAGTCCAGCTCACTTTCCCATACCTATATTGGTTCTGCAGTGCTCACATAAATGAAAACATTTTAGTCAGCGACGGCAGCAGACATGATTCACTACATTAAGGACACATATACGTTAGAAAGAAAAATGCCATTTATATACAGCCATGCTTCTGATCCTATGCTTGAAACTGAGGTCCTTTCTATCAGTCTTTGGTTGGCTGTCCAAGTAAAAGGCAATGATCCCAGAGTACTTTTGAAAAATTGTAGCAGATAAGAGTCCTGTCTCATATTCTGTCTCCCTCAATTAAATAGGCTCTAATATACAATACTACAGGTAAGCTCTTGCTGAGTACCTAATGGTTGCTCTACTGGCCTATGCAGTTATGCTACCACTGGTACTTATTATGTTGAGATACCTGAAATGAGAGAAATGTTTGGTAAAACCAAATTTTAATCTATTTTATTATTTCATGTGTATTGCATTGTGAGCTCCATTCTAGATTGTTATTCAATATTTTAAAGTGTTATATTTTTGAACTTCAGCAGGTTCACTGCTATATAGTGCAGGGTGACCAATTAGTACAAAGTAAAAAATGAAATGTGGAGATCTATACAGTCACTAGTGTCTCTGGAAATGTACATCCGGGACCTTAAACTCTTTTTTCTGTGCCTTTCATAATTACATCCTTGTTTGTAAGATGAACTTCTAGAATGTGAGGTATTGAAGCTGGAAATATCATCTTATGATTCTGCTGAGGACAATTTTCATTTCAGATAAAGAAATGAACTTCCTGAGCAAAACATTAGATGGAGCCACACACAGTAGCCTTATACGCATGGTTCAGAACATACGACAGATCTCTGCAGACAGGCTTATTAATATTGTGAAAAAGGTGGTAAAGATAGAGAAAACTATAGTTCTACCAAGGTCATTCTTTTTCACTGGACAGGCCTACCCTCCTTTTCAGCAGGCATAATCTGAGAGAATAAATGTTTTTGCCTTAAACTTGTTACTGTCCACTCCTATGATAATCCATGACTGCTACAGATGAGATGTTCAGAGGGCCAGCACTAGACCCATACACCAATTAAATTCTCAAAATAGGGCCCAAGTGGGACTAAGGTGGTGAGTTGGTCTTCCCTCTATACCGGGGTATTTTACCATATGAGAACAAACTTCTCTCAGTTATATAGCTAAAACCAGCCCTTTCCTTCAAATTACATTCACTATCTAGAACCCACACAGATCTTGCACTACGTCTTTTATAATGACCACAGCAATAGTCAAAATCGTTTTCTTTCTCTTCCCGTCAATTTTACAAATCTGGTTTTGGGTGAAGGTCGTTTGTCTTGAAGAAAGAGTGATAACTTTTAGCACAATAAACATTGCAAAACAAAGGCATAAGCTGCTTTATTTTGTGTAAACATGGACGATCTTAGGAATGTGTGTCTTTGTACACTAGCAACTAGTAGTTCCTTATATAAAATAGAGAATTTACTACATCTCCTCCAAACAGCTTTCCCATTGGATTCTTTAGTATATGATCCCTAAAGGAAAAAAGAAAATATAAGCAAAACTTCCAAACTCTCTGGTAGAACAGAGTCAATTGGAGGTTTCCAGGGTCCTCTGTGGTTAAATTTGCTGAACCTTGTTTCATAATAATGGTTGCATATTGGCAAACAGCTGGATTCTAGCTTTCTGTTTCAGTAAGAGGCTCTAAATCTTCTGACAAAGCCATTGCTACTATAAACAATACTAAAATGTTAAAGATTAAAAAAAGGATGTAATGTTGCCAAAAAAAGAAAAAGACTAGTTATAAAAAAATTATCATTTTCAGATCAATGATTTTGAGTTTTGTAACATAAATCAAGTGCTGATGTATTTACATAAAAATGAGTTTCCCAGCCAAAGAAATGCTAAAATATTGACTTCGGATGCATCCGAAGAAGTGGGTATTCACCCACAAAAGCTCATGCTCCTATACATCTGTTAGTCTATAAGGTGCCACAGGACTCTTTGCTGCTGAAAACACACAGACTTTCTACTGCAAGTTCAGAGAAATCACTGGGACACGCAGCAAATACTTTCAGTTGCAATGTAAAAAATGCAACATTTTCACCATCTTGTGGGGACAATGAACATTGCAGCAAACATCTGACAACCACTGACCCTAATTCAGGAAAGCATTTAAGCACGTCCATGAGTATGTTCTTTTTCAGGAATACACTAAAACATGCCTTACTTTAATCATGTGATAAAATCCCACTGACTTCAAGAAGAATTAAGCATATGATTAAGTGATTTGCTGTATACAGATGCTTTCCTGAAAATGGCACCAGAGAGAAGAACCTATGTTACATACATACTTTTCAACATTTACTAGAAATATGTCTAATTCACTTAAAATACAAATCCTTTCTTTTTCTTCACCTGAAATTTTGATTACAACTCAACTATATAAAGATTAGACTAATTTTATATGTTTTTCCAAACTAAAATTTTTGAAAAAAGTTGGGATTTTACCCCCCACCATTTTCAAACACGTCTAACAATTTGAGGTTTCGTTTCTGTCTAGACCTTAGGTGCCAAAATTCCATGGAAAAGGCTCTTCCTATAAGAGTTCTAGGTCAGGCTGGTAGATTCAAGAGATTCAGCTATTCAGAACTAATCACAGAAACTTCTGATTTAAGTGTGAAAGGAAGAAAGAGACAACATGAGTAAGACTCTAGCCACCACTCATTCAAGTGTGGCTGGGAGCTTGTGCTCCAAATTCTCATTAACAATGGGCACAATCTCTTTGCTACCTTTAAGTAGCCATTTAAATTGACCCATTTAAAGCAACAGTATAAGACTGAAAAATGCACAGTTCCATTGTGCATGAAGATCCAAATGACTTTTACTTACCCACTCGTAATGTCATCAGTCCTTATATTCTTGCCCAGAACATCGCCATCGCTCATATAGCCAGTGGCATCCATGCTGATGGTTTCAAGATCTATCTCATCACCACCCTTCTCTGAGATGTCCATGTGACAAACGTTACTACCGCGGGATGCTAGCTGTCTCCTCAAAGGTGCTGAATACATATAACGCCCAGACTCAGCGTTGATGAAACGGCTGGCATTGGCTCTTGGAGGATACCCATTTCCCATTGATGGAGCATCACCTGCCTGAAGGCGGGGGCTGGACTGCCCAAGTCTCCACGATAAAGGCGTTGGTCTTCCAGTCAAGCTGAGAATACTGCGACCACTTATTTCAGTAGTGACATTGGTGTCAAACGTGGTCTCCAATGTGCTTAAAAAAAACACAATTGATTTAGTCTTCACTGACATGGTATAGAACCATTAGAGTTCAGGTGATGCCACTGCATACATCATAAAAGAATGTAACTTCCAAATAGTGGCAAAGGTATCAACTGCAGGTGACACACTTAACAGCATTTGCCTAAAACAAATCTCTTCATGTATTTTACACACCTTAACAACACTACTTTAAAAATAAAGGGTCTCCCTAGCCAGGCCATCAGTGCTCTGTTGGGGAAGGAAGTAGAAAGAGAGGGGGTTATTTATTTATTTGTTTATTCATTTTTGGCATGGATTCTTCCCAGTATCCAAGCACAACTTTTCCTCTTTCAGTCAAACCTAACCCATAATTGATGCTGTCACCATTCCATGCAGGAGGCTTAAGCTGATAAAAAGACCACTTTACTTCCTAGCTGCATTCACAAAATACCCTATCAGTTTGGAGATGCTCAAGATAGCTAACAATCCTTCTGCCTCTCTCAATGAAGACTTAAAGGAAAAAATAGTTATATAAAAATTAGACTAATTTCATATGTTTTTCCAAACTTAAGAATTTTGTATCTATTTACACCAGGGGTCAGCAACCTCTGGCATGCGGCTCACCAGGGTAAGCACCTTGGCGCAGGCCGAGGGACGTGCTGGCCGTGGCTTCCCGCGGCTTCCCGCCGCCCCCATTGGCCTGGAGCGGCATACCGCGGCCAGTAGGAGCCGTGATCGGCCTAACCTGGCGACGCAGCAGGTAAACAAACTGGCCTGGCCCTCCAGAGTGCTTACCCTAGTGAGCCGCATGCCAGAGGTTGCCGACCCCTGATTTACACAGTACTTTGATATTCAATTTCACCTCATGACCACTAAATACATTTTCTAAGGCTCAAATATACACTATATTCTTCATGCCTGTATAGACGAGTATATTGCTTCCCTTCAATGACAAATGCTAGTATAGGCTATTTTCTCCTCTTCAAGAGCTGCAGCTTCCCTCTCCCAAACCAAACCAACCAACCCTGATTTCCTTTCTGGCTGAATATACTGTTACTGGACTCTGGCTAAAATGGACTAAATGGGCTCAGGCTACTCGCAGCATGATAATTCCTGTGGAACCATGAGCAGGCTTAAGTATCCTGTGGCTACAGTAATTAAATCATAATGAGCTGTCACTTTAATCGAGACTTTAAAAGGAAAACAGATGCACTGGGAGTTCATCTGTGGAAGCACTGGCACAGGTTTAGCCAAAATACAAACCTTCATCTGCTGAGCTCATTTAGGGCTTCATCGTATGAAGGGTTCAGCATCATTAGTCAACTGAAATTGAGGGAGCTGAGCACCTCACAGGATCAGGCCCTTCATGTGGCCAAACATCATATTCTCCTAAGCCTCTTGTTGAGCACTTAAAACAACAGCTCATAGAATGTTCAAATGTAATCACAGCTTTTGCTTATCTTGAGCATATTTTAAATATTACTGGAGATTTCTAAATACTGCTTTACTAAAAAAATTGTACATTCGCATCACTAATAATATTATAAAGCTTTGTTTGTTCAAAGACCAGTTAGGAATTCAAGTTATGCACTTTATCAAGTAGGTCAAACACAGTTCACCTGCTTGTTTAAACAGCATATTATAGATCTGGGGAGGGAAATGCATTAAAGTCACTCATAAGTAAACCAAAGTAACATTTTAAATGGTAACCTTTGCACAATTCTATTCAACCACCACCTAATGCACTTAAAAAGCATTGCTCTTTCTATGACTGTGTTTCTATATCCAACCGTCCTGTTCCCTGCACCACCACCGCTTACTCTTCATAAATCTTTATAAATACTAAACAAGGATCAGAATCTGTGCTTTCAATAAAAGAAAAAAGCACAGTAAATGCTTAGCCAACTTAATTTCCTCCATTGTCAGCGTTAATAATTTTTGCAAGGGCACAACCCAGCCAGAGTCGGGACAGGTACTATAAGAACACAGTTATTTCACTGTTCAATAAAGAAGCAATTCATGCCACTACCTGTGAGAGACCTGGGTTCCCCGTAAGCTGGACATGGTCTCCTCTAAATTCTGTCGAAGATCAGCAATGTTCTTGACAGTTCGCAATCGTCGAGTTTCTGGATCCTCCCCTATGAAATAACAGACCTTTAGAAGGAAAGAACTAGCCCACATTAATTAGCAAGAGCCAAGACATGCACTATCATCTCTTCACGGCTCTGAGTCAAACACAAATCCCTGCCTTTACATTATTTAATATCCAATCCTACACTAAATATGATGTAGGATTTCATTCACTGCTGAAAGGAGCTTTCCATTGCCTTGGCCAGACTGAGGAATAGCGCTGCATTGTTAACTTCATTTCATGGGCTTTCTTTGAACCATAAAGTAATCAAATATTTTTGTATTGGACTTTACTCAAACCTCCCAGGTACACTTTCGCTTAATAGCCAGAATGGTTAGAGCATATGGCAGCCCACTCCATCCCCCATACTGGCATCAGGGCCGGCTCCAGGCACCAGCTTGGCAAGCAGGTGCTTGGGGCGGCCACTCCGGAGAGGGGCGGCAGGTCCAGCTATTCGGCTGCAATTCGGCGGACGGTCCCTCACTCCCGCTCGGAGTGAAGGACCTTCCGCCGAATTGCCGCCGCAGATCGCGATTGCGACTTTTTTTTTTTTTTTTGGCTGCTTGGGGCGGCCAAAACCCTGGAGCCGGCCCTGACTGGCATGATGAACACGTACTTGATAAAGCCTGTTCTTTGCAAGGTTATAATCACAGTAGATATCCTTTTCTCATTTTAAATAAATCAAATTGATTATTAGAAAGCTGCTGTTTTGGGAACGAACTAAACCATGTCTATTAATTGCTCCACAGCTGAATGATGTACCAGGTATTCCAGCAAATGCAGTTGCCTGCCCAGCTTCATCCTGCTATTTCATTCATGTAAATGAGCTTTACAGAGCAGCAGGTATGGTCACCAGAATGCATTATGATACAGAGAAAGTTTTGTTCTGTTTTTTTGGGAGGAACTCAAATTAATTTCCCTTGAAGGCTGTAACACATTCAGATCAGCATGATTCATGTTCCAGTAGCGAATTATTGTATAACAGTATAGAAACCTTCCAAATTAGACCAGCAATAGTCGAGAACACATTGATAGGTTACTTAAATCCTCAAGGCCATAACAACTAGTTTTTTTGCTTTGCATAAGGATTCTTTGCCATTTTTATTTCCCTAAAGAAATTCGTAAGGAATTCCCTAAGATGGTCCATTTGAAACAGCATATTACCTGTTTTTGGACCAGAAAAGGAATCTACTTCCATTTTATAAAACCTCCTAGTGGCCTCTGTTGCTTACTTGTTCTCTGTAATTGATTAAAAACCACTTCACTGCTAGCTCAGCTATATTTTATCTACTTAAAAGGTCCTTGGGTGTTAAAAAGAAGTGACTTATGATTGTTAGTGATACCAAGGTGCTTGCTGTCAACATGGAACATAACTGAACTAGAAAATCTCCACACAGGATGTAGAAGAAAAAAAAAAACCCTGCTAATTAGCTAGGCCCACTTCACAGCAGGGAATGAGCTCATTCAAAAGGTTTACAGCTAAATAGCAAAATGCTTCATATCCGAAATTTAGCTATTTTTGATAATACTGTAGTCTTGATACTCTTGCATGTTCTTTAAGTGAAGCCTTCTTCCCTAAAAGCTCCCATGAAACTGAGTTGAACTAATCCACAAAATGGTTAGTTCAGATGAGAATCTACACATTAAAATTAAAATTTCTGATTTAAGTAAAGACTGAAAACAGTCTCCAAACAGTTGCTGCTCTTTAAGAAAGCTTCTCTCAACCCTTGAAGTAAATTTAGTGCTTGTGTAAGGTGCCAAATTGCTAGCCCTGGAGGATGAAGACCCCCAAGGCATCAGTGCAAATGTCCCATGATGCCCCATCAATGTGCCTCAGCTCTGACTTGTAGGTATCATTTCTAGGGAAAAGAAAGTAGTTTCATATTCATCCAGTCCTTGGCCTTTCTGAGATAGATAAAAAGGGGCCAATTATCATCCATGTTAGTGATGTTTTTCCATGATGTGGACAGCTGTCTCTGGGATCCAGAGTGACACTAATAATGCATTTCACATAGGCCACCTAACCATCAGATAGTTATGGCTTCATCACTACTGACCTGACAAGATTGGAAATAGAAACCTAATAGAGCTCAATTCTCTCAGCCATAGAGTCTCTGGGATGTAAACATTTTTATACACTCATTAGTCTGCAAATTATTGCAACACTAAAGAACATTTAAAAATAATATTTCTAGGACTATGGCTGATAAAAGTGCTCTTTCCACAGATTATTTCTTCTGTAAATATGAAGGCAAGATCTAGATAAGCTATTAAGAGCACAGATAAGAGGCTTAGCTGAGGTAAAAGCTGTTAAAGTTGTTTGCTTGGAGACTCACAAAATTAAATTGTGATAATGTTTTTCAAAAGAGAAAGTCATATTCAGAGATCAGTTGTAAGCTCTTTAGAAGACATTATATTGACTTTCATTGAAAATATCCAATTAGACTACACTTAAGACATTAATCACCTTCTTTACAAGATTCTTCTCTTCATGGATATTCTGTATATAGTGTCTGTGAACTGTTTACTTCCATTTCTCCATATGCACATGTAACTCATTAGCAACAATGTTTGTTGCATGCATGAATGGACGAAACAAGAGACATTAAAGTCTGATTTATTTCTTAAAAATGTCCTCTCTTTTGGGGTTGAGGAACTGTTTTGTTTGTTCTCCATTAATGCTCCTTGATTGAATACCACTATCTGTTGACTTTGGCTTTAAACAATTTCCTCTTTGGATCCACATTGTATGATATACAGATTGTGCTGCTGTTGTGTACTTTTGGATCTCAAACTAACATGCATAATATAATAATAATACTTTGAACTTAAATAATATCTTCCATTAAGGGCTCTGAAAACCCTCTGTAAACTAGGTATTATTACCATTTTACAAATGGGTAAAATTAGATATATATTTCATTTTATCCATTTGTAAAATGGAAATAATATATATAGTTTGGGAGAATTGCCTAAGATAACACACTGATTAAGAGGCACTATTGAGAAAACTCAGGAAACCCAATGTTTGTTCCCCCAATTCTAACCAACAATGCACTGCCTCCTCTATTTATGTATCACTGCAGGAATGTCCACAAGGACTGTAACCCTAATGCCATTTGTTTGTCTGCTTAATATTTCATGTATTTACATATAAATTATATATGCAGATATGTGCATATGGGCACTCCTGCTGCTCTCCTCTTCACCACTGACTCTTCCTCTTGGTTCTGCGGCCAGCATGCGTACATGCAGGTGTAACCGTGGCAAAGGCAGAATATATAATGAAATATGAAATTAATCCAATTGTGAAGCTTATAGCCACATGGCTTCCCAAGCAGAAGGATCAGTTCCAAAGCTCACATTAGTCTGGAGAATGCATAAACTAACTAGATAAAGAACTCTACAGTGATACCCCAATTATGAGACATGTTAAAGACATACTTCGTTTATAAACAAAAACACACAGTTCTCTAAAAACAGAAAGAAGGATGAAGGTTGGAGACACACCAAAGACTTACCAGCACAACTCACATTTGTACTGCAATGTTGTTGCTAAAAGTCACTTGGTGAACATGTATTGTTAATTATCAGCTATTCCTGGCAGGAATTTTAGAATACACACAACACAGGAAATTACTTTACAACCCAGAGCATCTTAATCCAAATCAATTTCAGCACACTTCTTATTCAATAGACACAGTAAGTTAAAATTGGTTTTATATTTCTCATTGGAGCAATGGGAGTGTCCCCATTAATTTAGTCATCAAATTGATGAATGCTGTAGAGAGCTACTCTCCTTTCTTGTACAGATGTAATGACTGATTTTATGATGAATGAGCAATTGTCAAAACTCCAAACTTTCAAAACAAGAAATAGCTTGTTAACCTATCATTTTAAATCTGGGAAATGCAAACATGAAGCTAAAGCACACTACTTCTCAAATTATTCAGACAGAATGTGACAATGTTGGGGTTTCCCCAAATTTATAAACTAATGCAAAATGCCATAGGAACTAGCTTTATCTAATCCACAATCTCTGAATTCTGAAATATTAAAAAATGGAAAACATAACAGATACATAGTTCCTTAGGGGCTCTTGAGGAATATTTTAGTCAAATCTGGCAAGATGTTGAATGTCTGCTGCAAGGTGCTAAAGCAAGATATTAACTACCCTCAATTCCCAAAGATTTCAATGCTCAGTATCTTGTAGAACTAAGCCCCTAGTGTCCAAAACTCTGATCTTTACCCAGTTTCTGAAGGACCAAATATTAGAACTCACCAAAAACAAGGCACTAGGAATAACCACATAAATTAAATTCCCCCTATTGAGGGGGAAACAAACTTCATTTAGCCCACTCTCGTTCATTATATACAATGCACAGAATTAGTTATCTAGACATCTTCCAGGACCTACCTGAAAGGTCTTCGAGACCAGGCTGTCCAGTTTTAGTGTAAAGAGCAGTATCCATGCTCACCCCTCCCGTGCCGGACTCAGCTGTTACATTCCCTTCATTGTCTGTCTGTGATCTTAAAGGCAACACAAATAGAGATATGCAGTCACTCACCACCAAAAATATATCAAGTGTAACATTGACAAAACTGCACCCGCCATCATCCACTGTGTCCTTTTCTCTAGAATACACTAGCAGACTGACTTTACATAATTCATTAGTCCCATGTTGAGCTATGTCCTAGAAACGGAAACAGGCACTGAACTGTAAAAAAAAAATGAAATATTCATAGTCAAATTGTAGACTTCACAGACCCCCAGACACTAAGACATTTCAAATTTTCAGCAGCACACACTGGGCTGAAACCTTGATCTTCGTTAACAATGGAGTTTATATGTGACAGTTCTTCACACCTGTGCAGAATTCCCTTTGTTAACTAGCAATGTCACCAGTTCTTTTTTTAAAAGAAACAGCTAGGTAAAATAATAACAATTGACTGCAAGAAGAACTTTGGACATGGTATTATTCAGTGGAAGGTGTTTTTCTAAGAATCTGCTTTTCAATTATGTATTAGTATAAATCTGTGATCACTTCATTTTACTGGTTACACTATGTTTTGGATCTTAGGACCACAGCAGTTAGCAGTTAGAAGTTCAGCTTCCTTTAAGTGCATGAAAGAGTCCCTTGATAGGAGGATACAGAAGATATTTCACTGATACTACGCTTGATCTCAGCTAAAAGACCATGTGGAAACATACAGTAGGGTATAACAATTTCTCTGTTTGCAGTTTAAAAAAAACAGAAGGAGAAGTATATTTACAACCGATTATCTGCTTCTCAGCTCCTTGTGTAGGGGTTGTGGGCAGGGGAAGGGGATGGCAAGATTGTTCCCAGTGATTCCCAGATAGTGAACTGCCCCCTTAGAGCTATTGCCTACTGAGATAGTTTAGAGCAAATCTGAGGCTGCTCTTGTAACCTCTGAGGCTAGGTCTATACTACGGGGGGGGGGGGGGTGTTGATCTAAGATATGCTATTCGAGTAGCTGAAGTTGCGTATTTTAGGTCAACTTACCTGGCTGTGAGGATGGCAGCGAGTCGACCGCTGCCGCTCCCCTGCTGACTCCGCTTCCGCCTCTCTCTGCGGTGGAGTTCCGGAGTCGACAGCAGAGCGATCGGGGATCGATTTTATCGCGTCTACACTAGACGTGATAAATCGATCCCCGATAGATCGATCGCTACCCACCGATCCGGCGGGTAGTGAAGACATGCCCTCAGTGTAGCAGTCTGTCCCCTTCTAGTGCTGGCTGGGCCATAGATACAGGTTGATGAGCTTAACATAGACTTGGACTAGGTCTACACTACTCGTCGGGACGCGACAATCAATCCCCAAATCAACGCGCTTACTCCACCAGCGGAGGTAGGAGTAAGCGCCGTCGACGGGGAGCTGCGGAGGTTGATTTTGCCGTCGTCCTCACAGCGGGTAAGTCGGCTCCGATACGTCGAATTCAGCTACGCTATTCGCGTATCTTAAATTGACCCCCCACTGTAGTGAAGACCTGCCCTTAGCTAATAGAGCTGGATCTTTGAATTCAGGCAGTAGAGGACCCATGCATTAACATCCTGATGTGCCAGATTCAAACCCTGCTGCTGACATCCCACCCTAGTGGGCAGGACCCCAAAATCAAGAAGATACACTAGCTCCTTTGGGAGTCCCCTACAGCTGTGTCTAGCACATAATGGCTCTTTAGGGGAGAGACCATCATTTTGTTCTGCATCTGTACAGCTCCTAGCACAGTGAGGTCTGGGGCTCCTAGGCACTATGATAATACGAATAAACAACAATAGGCAGAGTTTAAAGTTTGGAACAAACTAATGCTACAAATTATATTCCTCAGGTCTTCCAAATAGGTGCACACTATTAGTGATTGGATCCCTTTTTATTAAGCACGGATTTACTTTTCCTCTTTATTTTTCAAAAAAACAAGATGATACATTTTGACCTTTCACTTTGACTTCTGGCTGGGCAAGTAAATATGATATTTTTTTCAAGTCTGCAGCAGTTTTTCTGGCAGAATTGTACAGTTTGTTTTGCATTCTTTTGAAAGGTCAAATAAATATTACCTTGAGACTACCAATCTGTTATTAGAGTTATAAAAATAGTATGGTTAGCAGCTCAGCTGCTTTCATGCTTCAGATAATACTAGTATTGAAAACACTGAATGGAGATCAGCTCCAAGTCAGTTACTACACTGGGTTTTATTTTGGCTTTTTCATCAGGACATTATAGTCATAAACAGACAACAATCCAATGCCTAACTCACCCTTGCATCTTCATGGGGGTAAGAAATGTAACAATTGAGATCTGATCATGAATACTGGGGGAGTATTTGAGAGGCCAGCTCAAAATGTTTTTTAATTTTATGTCCATTTTTTCAAAAGTGTGTGTGTGTGTGTATATGTACACATATGAGCACTACTTGTCCTTTTGGCTACTATGCAAATCAGTTTAACTTATGTTATGTCCCATGTTGGGGGACAGGCTCAAACACAGAGGTCTTTTCAATCTTTATCTACAGCATTATAATGCTAAGAAATGCACTGGCATTCTCCAGCTCAAAACAGAGAGCTGCACCTCTAATGGGTTTGTAAACAAACAGCAGGCTTGGTCCAGCTCGCCATCAGGCAAACATAAGATACTGCACTGGTGATGATTTGAAAATAGTGGGTTTTGCAGCAGGGTGAATCCAGAAATTTTAATATGTATTTTAATAGTGACACCAAGAAGAATGTAATATTAATATGTATCTTAATCAGGTTAATCATTCACAGGTGGCTCATTTTCATGCACTGGCACAGCAGGAAGTGTGCGCAGCTTTTTATAAATATCCTGTACAATGCAGAAAAACAGTATTGGCCTGATTATGTCCAGCAATGGGCAGGTGCCCAAGAGGAGGGGGCAGAAGGCACAAGGATCCCACTTTATGTTCCATATGGGGGCCGAACATACTATCAATCCTTTTGCTTCCCTGAGGGCAAGGATTGTTCCATGCACCTTTGCTACAGATCTGTGGAGGAGGCAGGGCTATGGCCCAGCTCCCCTGAGTCAACACCTACCAACAGAGTAAAACCCACTAATTGGGGAATGAATGCTTGACCCTAACCAAGGATCGAGCTGCAGCCATGCTCTTCCTTCAGTCCTAGGCCTCATCTCCACTAGTGACATTTTCTATACATATCTCAGCCTTGCAAACACTGAGTTAGCTTCACCACTGTTAGCGACATCAGGAGCACTGATGTAGAGGGGCCACCAACTACTGCAACCATCTTTAACACTATGACATATAAAAGCCAGTCTGATCAACACAATGTTAAAAATGACCAAATCAGCAGCTGGACTATCTACAGTAGGGCGCCGAACAGGGCACACACTCCAATGGAACACTCCAATGGAACTGAACTGGTGTCTCCAACAGTGAGAAGTTTTGGACAGAGCTTTGCAGACATCATACCTGCCTAAGGCACAATGCCTACAGAAGCTCCCAGTGCTACACTGCAACTCCACTCAACCCACCACAGGCTAAGACTGCCACAGCTGAACCATATAAACATTACATCTAAAGCACACACACTGTATACATACTATTAATAAGCCAGTATTATAAAGTCAGCTTTAAGCGAACATAGTATCTGAGGCAGCAATAATTTACTTATTAACTGTTGGGAACAATAACTATCTCAGCTATGACTGTTGGTTTTTAACAGTAACTTGATCAATTATGTCACTTTCTTAAAAGAACTGTCAGCACCAATGCAACTGCTATACAATTTTTCTCCCCCTGCTTCCAAGTAACTATATCATAAATGGATAAAAATTTCAGGTTCAAAACACCCTACCTGTACATGAAAGGAGCTACTGTGGCAGTGTTCGGATGGTTGTATTGCTGTTGTGGATGAGGTAGCTGAACACTCACAGTATTGCTTCCGGTAGTCTGTGTGGTACTAACTGGCCCGTTGACAGCTTGGGTGCTGCTGCTACTGTTAAGAGCAGACACCCCTCCTATCCCTTTTCCTTCTGAGGAGGCTAAACTTGAAGTGGAACTGGAATTCCTGCTGTCTAGTTGGGTCTTCTGTTGAGAGAGCCCTGAGCCAGGTTTTCCACTGCGGCTTCTCTCACCTTCCTTTGCAGAAGTTGGGGCACTTGAGGATTTCCCTGTGGTGTTTTTCATTCCTGGTTTTGGTATGCCACTGTGCGAAGGGGCAGAGGCCTCCTTCTTGGCACTATTCAGCTTTCCTCCTTTAGGGATAAAGCTTGCAATCTTGGAGGACTTTTTTGGCATCTCTGTTGTAGCTGGTGCTGTCTGTTCTTCTTTTGGCTCCTCTTTCATCTCCTGCTTCTCTGTTACGGATATCCTTTTTGCGATGTCTTTGCTTTTATCCTTTTCCTTCTCTTTCTGTTTCTCTTTCTCACTGCCCTTTGGGGAACTTTTCTTATTAGTCAGTGCCCGGCTAAAAGTTCTTTGTGCAATGCCCTTCAGTGCAATTTTGGGGCTACTGGATGTTGGTCCTGGGTTGTTCATATTCCGATTTGCAGCATCTATCTCTTCACTTTCCTCAAAGCTGGGAAGTGCCTCTAGTCTTTCACAGCTAGTGTCCCGAGACCCTGAGCACTCAAGGGATGTTCCTCCTGCTTTGGAGCCTCCTTTGCTATTGAAGAGTTTTAATTTCTCAAGCATGGATTTTTGACCATTGGGAGTGGCTTTGACCATTTCTGAAGGTGGTTTTGGAGACTCTGGAATTGGCTGCTTTACAGATAACATGGAAGACGTGGCTGTGTGCTTCGCACTAAGGGACTTGCTGCGCCAGGGTTTAATGGCAGAGCTGGGCTGGGGTATGGCCGATGAGTTATTGCAACTAACAGCATTTGTACTGCTGCTGCTTTGAACTGAAGATGGTACATTTTCATTCATTCCTGTGGACTGGGAGGCTGTACTGTCTGCTGGCTCTGGGAAAAACAAACAAACAGTAGTACCTGGTATTAAAACAGCTCTGATTAATGCAATTCCTTTCCACCGTAAAAGGGCTGGTGCTTTAGACTACTACTACTAGGAGAGAAAGATTTCTCATTATTACAAACTACAGCAGTGTCACTAAACAAAGTAAGACTGCTACTTTATTGAGGGGAGGGGGAAAAAATCAAAAAACTCTCACTATGGCAATTTACATGTATTCACAGTTTTACAAACACACCTAAATGAAGTTAAACATGCAAAAGCCAGATGTGTTTTAGAGAGTCCTGTAGATCTACACTGCATCTTCATTAGAAATGACATGTGCATTATTATCTGACCAAGGCTTTCCCTCTGCTTTTAAAAAAAATCCTTACTGTTCAAGTTCATTTCTTAGAAAAACCTCAAGTGTATTTAGAAAGAAAAACTGCATGGAGAAAAAGAAAACAACAACAACACTGAAGTTATTTCCAGTTAATGGTGGTTTCAAATTCTGATATCCATTAAAAACAGAGGCAATCCCATTCTGCAAAAATAAAACCAATTGTACCCTTATTCATGGAGTGAACCTAAGTGATACATTTTTATCTAATAACTACATCCAGCTGCAAGAAGAGCTAATGTCAGTAACTGCAAACCCTTCTTCAGAGAGCATGAATCTCTTGTTTATTTAGTTTTTTTTTTAACGTTACTTGCTTTTCTTAAATAATAAATTCAGCACCTAAAGAGAGCTTGAAAATCACACTGGCTTACTCACCTATCAGTGGCCACTTCTCCTCTTCCGAAGTTTCTCTTTGCAAAGTTTCCCTTCTGGAGACGTTACTCTCTCAATTATCACAAATATGTTTTCTGTTAAACAGCTCATGTTTCCAATTAACTTTTGTCATCCCTAACTGTTCGGCTGCCCAGCAGCCTGCTGGGGATTAACGGCTTTTACCTATATTTCCCTGCCCTCTAGCAATAAAGTAAACTGAATATAGAGCTGCTTTTTTTAATTTAAAAATAAACAGCAGTTGAGAACGTAAGTTTTCAGCAGCCGGAGCAGCACTGTGAATTCAGTTCTGTAAATCATGAACCGCTGCAACCACACAGGGGCTGTTTTACTTCACTTTCAGCTGCTCACTGAAGATATAGCTTTGTTAACCTCACTCGTATGATCCAAACCAGACCTCCCGAAGATTTAAAGCACATACATCTTTATGACTTAGTGTAGATCTGTGTTTTTAGGAGTGTTGGAGATCCCTTTATAATACACTCAGAGTCATTTCACATTGTTATGTACCAAATGGAATAACAGGAATTAATGGTAATTTTTTTAAAAGAGAAGTCATTACTTAAATGGGAAGATTTCCAGTGTTCTGTTATTAACTACCAACTACCAGAGTGGCTGGTCTTTCTAGCCCTTTCCTCTGGAAAGTTTTTCTCGGGTAGATGGAGAGAGGCAATGGTTACCTCAGTATACAGAGGCACCAAGGGCTTGATTCTGAACTCATTTACCACAGGTTTAACTAGAGCAACTCTATTGACTTCAATGCAGTTACTCCTGATTTACTCCAGTGTAGGAGCAGAATCAAGTCCCAAGTGTCCCACATCCTATTCTGCCAGGTGGTGCTTGAGTGCCACTCTCTCTGCCTGAGCTCAGCACTTCAACTCAATCATAAGGATTAGGGAGTGTGGAGCAAATGCACTGGATGGTATAGGAGTCACAGGGGGAGGGAAAAGAAGGATTCAGTGCCATCAACTCTGCCCCCAGCTAGGAGGAAAAAGGGGATGAGAAAGACAGGAGCTGCTTGAAGAGCAGTCAGTGATATTGTCCCCTCCCAGTTTTCAAAATGCTGCAGCACCACTGCTTTTCACTCCAGGTTTCTGGCAGTAATTTGGTTCTCTTTGCTGCCACTTCCCCCATCCATAGCAAGGAGGAAGCAGGGTAAGAATTGTGCCTGAAACACAGTGCCTCTAAGGCTACATCTACACAACATACCACTGGCAGTGGTGCATAGCATACATGTAGCTACACTCCGCAATGAAAAGCATACCATGTCCACACTCGGTGCGTAGCTACGCATGTCAGCGAAAAGCTGTCTGGGGGAAGCTTTAGCAGCTCCTTGGTGCCAGAGCCTTTCACTGCTGCCAGAGTTGCTCCAGCAGCAGAGAGCCTTTCCTGTAGCGGGTAAAGGCTCCAGCTGCAAGGAGGCAGCAGGACACTACAAATAGCAGTGTAGACAGGGAGACAGGACTTGGGCGAGTAGAGAGCCACATAGAGTAATGTATTCAGGTACATACACATACCCTTCATGTGTGTCTGTAATCTACTCACCTAAGCCATGCTTCACCATATACACTATTTATACCCATACTAGGACCCAGGGACAGATTAACCTTTTGTGGGCCCCCCATAGGGGTAATGGAGCATGACACGAGGGGGAAGGGGGTCGGTCTCCGGAGCAAAGGGCCAGCCAGGGGCAATGGGGCATGGCACGGGCGGCCCCGCTTTACCCAGCCCAGTGCGAGGGCACTATTTACAAACCGGCAGATACCAGACGCACAATGGCCCACCTTCCCCTATGCTGCCAGCACGCACCTTCCCCTCAGGGGTGGGCCCATGCCGTGTCCCACAGGCCCCCTGCCCAAGAACCAGAATAGCCCCCCCCAATTCCCTATGGCCAGAGGGGCCCCCCCCCAGACCAGGGGACTGGTGGGGTATCAGGGCATAGTGCAAGCAAAGCAGACTGGGGCCCCTTCTGAGCATGGGCCTGACTCCATGGTGCCACTGGCGCCATTGTAAACCCGGCACTGCTAGGGGGACCATATGTGTATGTACACTACACACTGCCGAAAGAAGGGTGCATTGTAGATGCGTCCTAAGGGTATGTCTACACTGCAATTAGACACCCATGGCTGGCCTGTCCCAGCTGCAGGGCCGGCTTTAGGCCAATTCAACCAATTCCCCTGAATCTGGCCCCGCCCCTAAGAGGGCCCCACGCCCAAGCCCCGGTACGGCATACCAGGAAGAGCTGGTATGCTGTACCCGGGTGGCCCGGCTTCCCCTGGGGGCAATTTAAAGGGCTCTTTAAATTGCCACCAGAGCCCCACTGCTGGGACCCTGGGTTAGGGATGCGGGGCTCTGGGGGCTATTTAAAAAGTCCAGGGCTCCCGTTGCTTCTACTGCCCCGGCCCTTTAAATAGCCGCTGGAGCCCCGCTGCTTCCCCAGGGCTCCTGAGGCTATTTAAAGGACCAGGGCGGTGGAAGCAGGGGAGCCCTGGGCCCTTTAAATAGCCCCCGAGCCCTGGACTGCTGCCCCGCAGTACCCCGCTGTACCCGCACCCTCTGCCCGCA